GTCAAGGTGTGAGAATCAGTGCATCCACCTCCACACACATGCAAAATATATCGCAGTAAGAATGGAAAATTCAGGAAAGAGATTGTGAGAAAGGAAAATAGGCCAAATAAAATATTAAAGGGAAAATGGTAAAAACAAGTAAAGGAAAAAAGAATGACACTCTTGGTTTGTGCTGTGGGTGGAAGTTTGCTGTGGAAAAGAAAGCAGTTTGTGGTGCCCCACGGGCAGTCAGCAGCTCCGCACCACGGCTGCGTGGGAGCCCCTTGCTGGCTCCGTCTGCCCCCAGGAGCAGCTCTCAGCCGCGGGTGTCACGGTGTGCAGGGCTCACCACTTGGGTCCAACGTGGGCTGAAGGGCTGAGAATCAGGTGCAGAGTTTGGGAAGAGGGAAGAAGAAGAAGGGCAGCAGCTGGGCACTGTAACACACAGAGATGAGCTCTTCTCAGGGTGGTAAGAGAAAAACAGCAAGATATTCCTATCTACTCAACATCTTAGAAGGCAGAAATATTTTCTTCTTCTTTTCTAGTAAGTGGAGCCAATTATGAAGATGGAGAATCAGGGTAGCTGATGTCAGAAGCATTATAATGAAGTATAAGGAAATATTCCATAATTAAAACAGTGATCTTTCTCCTATGACGTAGCCTCAGTTCTGCGAGGATGCATACGTGTATGCTGTTCTGTTGACGTGACTGCATAAATGCAATGAAGCCGATTCTTTTTTTTAAGGGCATTCTACCCCTCCAGGTCTACATTTCAATATACTCTGTCCTTGGTTTGCCTCCTGGTGTTACTGGAATACGTACTCATTGCTACAAAATATCTCTTCCCTCCTGATGTCTAGACCCAGCTGTCCTAAAATCCACTGAGCATCATTATTATACTTAGAATTGCACTTAGACTTGCATAAGATTTCATCAGGGAAGAGGCTGAGTACCTCTTAAAGGAGTTAATGGAAAAGACTTTTTAATTAAACTAGTAACTTCTAGGATTCGACAGAAAATGTGCTGCATTATTCAGGTTTTTACAGAATGCTTCTTACAGCCTGCTTTACACAGCAGGCTGCTGGGCGCACTGTCCTTCCTGGACCTCCTCCTCAAGCCTCATACTGACTGCAGCAGCCAGCCCGGTACGTGCTGCTCTGTTACAGCTCCGTGTGGAGTAGTTCCTGCTAAGAAGGCAGCTCCCAGAGTAGCTGTCCGGGCTCCATTGCTGTAGTAACCCCAGAGCTGTTCCCCAGCCTTGCAGCCCAGCGTGTGGGGATGAGGACTGTCGTCACAACACTAAATACCTGCTGCCCTGGCTCCCTAGAGCTCTTGCAGGGAGCAGTAGTGACACATACACCTCTGTGCCTGCAAGGCTTGCGTGGTACAAGGAGGTTCGCTTCCAAGATCAATTTTCAGCTTGCAGTTTCCTCCTCTACTCTTTTCATACTTCTTGTGAACACCGTGGGAGAGCAACTCTAGTTTATGTCAGAGGATACTGCCTGCAGAAGCTGCAAAAGTTTATGCTCTTATGAGTACTTCTTGATGAAAATTTGCATTGTGTGCAGCACATGGAAGTAAGAGGAAAACTGAGATTCTAGCTGCAAAGCTCAAATCCAGGCTGTATGTACAAGCACCTCTGTGCCACATGCTTTTACTTGAGCACCATTCAGCATACAGAAGCTGACAAACTGGGTAGAAATCATGGGAAGAAGAGTGGTTTAATACATCACCAATTTACCTTACAGCTGCAGCATTGCCTCTGAAACACTGCCATGGCCACAGTAGCTCCATCTCTACTAATGAATTGTGGAAGCTGTTTTTCCCAGGCACCAGACCTTCAGTCTGTGTTTGGAGCCTGGAAGCAAATAATTCTATTAAACACCCAGGTAGACTTTTAGACACTTTAAAAAGAAACAGCTGCACATGCAAAATTAGATATGTGGCAATTTTTCAAAACAGTAACATTTATTTTGCTTTTCTTTCTTTAGCTCATTCAGTGCTCTATTTTATTTTTCTCTGTGATGTCAGTGAAAGCCTCCTGGTTATGTTCCTGCAATATTAGTAGAAATAAAAGGGGGAAAGGAGGCAAGAAAGGCTGGGTAGTTATATATATATTTGTATTTATGGACAAATATTTTTAAAGTTAAGTTAAACCTTTGACTTCTTGTTTATCTGAATATTTGCCATTCTTTCTGTTGAAGGAAAGTTAAAATAGAAGCATTTATACTCTTTCTTTTTTGCACACTGAAATGACAAACTGAGTCATGGTGCACTTCAGTGAATCTGATATAATCTGGGATGTCATTCTGAATGATTCAGCTCTCAGGGTTAACAAAGGACATTGTTTTCAAAGACCTCTTAGTAAATATCCTGAAGGAGTTTTTCAGATGCTTATAACTAAACTCTGCACGTTTTTCTTGGCCTGTATTGAGTGATATTTTGTCCAAATCATCAAATCTACCATTGATCTTATAGGATATTTTAAAGGTGACATTGTGAGATTCAGGAGGATTGCAGTATGTTAAAAATATAATCTGGAGAGGTACTGGTAATAGTAGACATCAAAGGAAAAGATCCAGTAAAACAATTTACCGAGTACTTGTCCTGTACTGACATACGTGATAAAAACCGTATTCCACGCTAGGAGGATTTAAATGCCACCTTATTTAGTTTGAGAACAAAGAGCATTTTCAGTTATTTGTTTCGTTTGCAGGACGGATGCAAGAGAAAGGATTCTTTGTGCACAGAACATCTTGAGGGTGGGACTGAGAGCAGGGTAGATGAAGGGGGTAGTGGGGCTGCCGGCTATTTACAGTGGCTATTTACAGGCTGTGCTTTTGGGGCATTGTAAGAATGAGCAATTTGAACCAGCAAATTGTTGAAGGGGCTTGTTGGAAGAGGTACAGTTAATCCCTGTACTGCTAAACTTAATAATAAGAAAGTCATTTAGGCTTATGTTTTATCCTCCTTCATCAAAATTATATTAAACATTACATAACCATCAAATAGGAAAATTGGATTTGCTACTGCCTCGAGCAAGTTTTCGGGACTCGTCGCATCTGTTGCTTATAGCGAGAGATCTGACATCCAAGATTTATTTTCCTAGGAACTATACTATAGATATTATCATTGGCAACTGTTTGCAGAGCACATGTTAATTCCATTATCTTTGAGAATTTACAAACGATCATAAGGATTATGTGGCATTATTGATCAGTTTGTCAGATGTTTCTGCGTTGGTTGATTCTTTCATAACATCTGTTGATTTAATCACACATACTGATAGTATTCAGCCAGTATGGAGTTACGTGACAGCAAATAATCACTTGCACATATGATCATCAGCTACCGTTTGCGATACATACCTTAGTAGTGAGTATCTTAAAAATCTTCTCAATAACGGTTGCTATATCTGAAATGTGATCTATTTCCAAGACCATTCGATGCCATAATAGCTCAATATACAATATAGCTAAGCATCACTTGCTTTTAGACATAACAGCCAACCACCACATTTCTAACTGTGCAAGCAGGGGCAGTGCAGACAATCAGCTCTCATGCTTTAAGACAAAGAGGAGTTCATAGGTGTCAAAAATCACAGCATTACCAGTGAGTGGTTCAGTCGTGAGTTTTGAAGTGACAAGTGTTTAATGATTGATTACCACAACCACATGCTCTCACGTAATCAACTCTGTGGTCCCACCATGTAGCACCCAGAGCAAGCATTGAACTGACCTGGACAAGACGACCTGATCCGTGCAAGGTAATGCTGAGTATGTAGACTCAACCTGTTTTTACAACAGCGTCATCTGATACAAAAATAAAACAGAGATTCTTCAGAGGCTATAAAATATTCTTCTTCTGTACTTTTAAAATTAAGAGCCATATTCTGGGCTCTACTGAAGTCAAAGTGAATTTACCAGTGGAAGCAAGATTTGCTTCAGATGAAGAAAGCATGAATTTTTCAGCCTGCTCCCCAGGTCTCTCACTGGACACCACTTTTTTGAATTAAGCCTTTGAAGGGCTTATGTGTGGGTGATATTCAAGTCAAATAATCTTTTGCTGTGCTTTGAAACTGTTTAGTGTATTTTAGATCTCCGAGATCATAATATACTTATCTCTTCCTCTTTTTGCCTTCCTTTTGTCCCTTAAAAAAGATTTGGGGATCAGTCATCCCAAATATTTTACTATTCTAAGTGTTGTATTGCCATTGTATTTGTTTTATTTTGAAATCAGAACTAAGCTACACGTCTTAGTCCCATTTAAGCATTAGTAGCAATATGTTCATCCATCTATAGTAGCAGGTTCGGGGGGAGAGAGACAGGATTACGACGCCTGATACTGCGTAATAAGTCAACAAGACAGAGGAAGGGGGAGTTTTACCCATTAACAAGTCGAGCTGTTTATAGGCTGATCAAATACAGGACCTGGCACCTTGTCTGCTGAAGGAACATTTACATTATTGAAGAAAGAAGTTTTGACACTTCTCTTAAAATGTGTCTACAGGAGAGACAGAGAGAAATACATTTTGGAAAGTGCGACTGAATCTGCACTCCTTAAGGAGCCCAAGAACCAGATTACTATCAAAGCTAACATACTTCACCTGCAAAGCTTCTCTCTGAGGAATTCAATCTGAGACATAAAGCATGTAAAAGGATAAAATTCCTGATGAAGCAGGTCAGGAAAATGCCCAGGGTAAATCAGCTGCATATAGGAAGAAATTGTGGGACTTGATATTATTAGAAGATTAAACAAAATGTTCTGTTTGTTTGTTTCCATCCTTTCACCTATGTCTTTTAAACACTAGCCCATACATTGTATATAGGTGTATTTGCTTTGTTTATGCTTCATTTCATGATAACAGGCCAGTCTCAAGGAATTTTTCACATTTTTCATTATGGACTTAGACCTAGAGAACAACGGTAGTGAGAGGGAAAGGGACAGTCCTGTCTGGGTTAAAATAAAGTCCTTGTTTTGCTTCTGTAATTAATTTCATTTTATTTTTATGAACATTTTAGGTGTATCAATACATGCATGAAACCATAACTGTAAATGGCTGCCCCGAGTTCCGAGCCAGGGCCACTGCAAAGGTAGGACATGTGCAGCTGTTGAGATACGTGTTACCAAAGTGACCTAGTAATTGACTGTGCGCGTGTGTGTTTCAGGTTTTCGTGTGTACACTGTAAGAAAATTTAGACATCAGTGGCAGCCCAGAGTCTAGAACCAGTGCTACTTCCCAGGTAACAATCATAATGGAAAATTTAAACCTTTATGCTGCTTCTGTAGCTTAAGAAAAGAGAATGATATTATGGAATTTGATGGATTTTGAGAAATTGGTTTGTGAAAGCAAAGTCTACCTGTAAAAATCAGTATTTCAATGGACTGTTTTCCCATACAGCATATCCAGAGGAGTGCAATGATTTGGGAGATAGAAACTAAACGGGCATGTTCCTCTTTAAGTAACGGGAACTGTGGGTATCCAGTGAGGAGCAAGACTGGACAGTGAGAAAAATGGCCTGACCAAGAGACTGCATAGCCGGACGCACGGCCGCTTTTCTTGAAGTGTTGTCTGCTCTGATAAAATACCTTGTCCCTCTGGCCATATGAACCTGCCTCTCTCAGATCCTTAGACCACAATGGCTACGTTACTAATACTACTAAAATGATAATTTTTCTAAGGGAATTCACACAACCAAGAAAGAACATGCCTTATTTGCCACTACTTAGTGTGGTCTGTATTTTAATAATATACACGATTATTCCAAATGGGGAGTCCTGCCATGGCTGTATTTTTCCCATTATCATTTTGCACTCAAGACTGTCTTCTGGGTGATAAAGCAGGTACTGTGCAAAGCAAGTAAACCTTCAAAAGCCACTAAGCTGCTTCAGAGGTAATTATTTATGGTCCTGCTCCTGTGAAATAAGTAACAAAACACCCAGAAATGTTAATGGAACTAAGATCTTTCCTTTATGTATTTGCATTAGAGATTTTTATTTAAAACTACAACGGAAGATGAAGTTTTGGAGTATGTTATAAAGAGATTCCTACATTGTTGTAGAGAAGCAAGACATACAATAGGCAGCAAATAACCTATTATACAGTAAATTGTATTACATTTTTTCTCCTAAATAGTATATTCCTTTCTGAAGGCTATTTTCTGTTTTTAACCTTCTTCCAATTGAAACTTCAAATGAACAATGTGAATTTGTAAGGTCTATGCTACTTTACAGAGAAATGTGTGTATTAGATCTTGGTTGGCCTACACTGCCGATGAACATAGAACTGATTGCTATGTTGTACAGCAAATGGGAGATACCCAACTAGTGTTTGCCATTCTCATTTCTTATTCGTATAGAACAGCAGGGTTACAAAGCAATGTTTCAATATCGCAATATTTCCTGGTTATTTCTGGGCTGTCTGCATTGCATTCTCCTAGTGCATTCATGTCTGATGTAAAATGTATGCATGATGACAAGGTCTGCATGTGCAAGAACATGTAACTGAGAATGATCCATTGTACCACATCATCCACTAGCTTCTAATAAGCATAAGCATTATTAAAGTGCTCAAAAATACTAGTATAATGCAGAATTGTTCTAGCAGTTTGGAATACAAACACATGTTGAAAAGGATAATAGATATTTCTAAAGTTTATTTAATCATACTGAAATGTATAATTAAAGTAGCAAAAAACTTGTAGTGAAAAATGAAATGGGAGATGTAATATTTTCCTGGATCTAAGCTGTACAGTTTGTTACATGCTTTTATATTTTCCACAGTAAGAATATCTAGGATTTTCTAATTGATTTGTAAATCCGTTGTCTCAAGATTTAATTTTCCAGTAAACATTTTGATCCAATTATACTATAAAAACTCATATTCCTATTCCAGGAGTCATTTAGTTTGTGAGACTGCACAATTAGAAATCAAACTTTTAAAAATAAGAGTAACTTTACAGGATACTTTATGCCCCTGAAGAATAGAATAACCAGTCCCATACATCTGAGAGCAGAGGGTTAAGAATTCAGTTTATTCACTTTATTTCAGCTAGGAACAAAGTGTAGGTCACATCATCTTATCTAACTGTAATGAACCTTTTTTTCCTGTGGAAAGAAGAGGCGAAGAAGAGGCGCGCGAGGGAGATGAGCACCGCTCAGGCAGGCTTCCTGGCGTCTCCGGCCGGCTCTGCTGCTAACCTTCTGCGTTATCTTTGACGAGCCACCTAAACTCTGTTCCTCTGCTTATCCCCTTATTTCAAAAGCATTGGCATGGAACTTAATTCTTGCAAAGTGCTTTGGGGCAATTAGGGAGAAAGGCAGAATAAGATACTGGAATGTTTTTGTGCTGGTGAGCTGCTCCTGTGGAACAAGCAGCAGAGCGTGTCCATGTTCGCAATCGATAGCCGTGTCGCCCTCTTCTCTTCCAGGCCACAGTTGCTGCTTTTGCTGCGAGCGAAGGCCACTCACACCCACGAGTGGTCGAGCTACCAAAGACTGATGAAGGCCTCGGCTTTAACGTGATGGGAGGAAAAGAGCAAAATTCTCCTATTTACATTTCTCGCATCATTCCTGGAGGAGTTGCAGAACGGCATGGAGGTCTCAAACGGGGGGACCAGCTACTTTCTGTTAATGGAGTGGTATGTGAAAATTTCGTAGAGCTTTCAACCTCTAGATTTGCATTTTCCTAAGCCTTCCCAGTGCCTTGATTTAAAATGCAGCCAACATGAAATAGAAAAGAATTAACTCTGTGAGAGTCCTTCAGGATGCATTTGGGGTGCTGTGAGGCAAAGCCGTGCAGACAACTTGGTTCCACAACGATTTCTGGTGTAATGGAGGTTGTTAGAAGAGCTTCATTTGCAGTCCACATCACATGCTCAATTTATAACGAAATCATGATTTCCCTAACTGATAATTCCGCAAATTACTTCTGTAGCAGAAAAGTAAAGCTGGTTTTTTCTTTTCTTCTTGTACTTCACAGCCCGCAGTGCATACAGGCCTTTCCAAATCTAGTGATGCCTCAGAGACATTTGTGCCAAAGGTCTTGTGACCTTCAGAGGGTTTGAACACGTATAATCAAATTTAGTAAGAATATCTGCTGCTGATTTGCAGCAGAGGATACATTCCAGATTTCTACCACTGACATTTATCCAGCTATAATATTTTAGCAGTGAAATCAGCAGGGAACATGTACATTCGGTATAAGGTACATTTCTGCGTGGTCATTTTCATGTATGTAAATATTTTTAGATGGAGTGTTTTGCAGTGGTTTCACTCTGAATATTAGAGTTAAAAAAATTAAAAGGGATATTGGAATAGAGAGAAGATAAAATAAGATCCCATCTATTTGGGTCAAAGGTAAAAAGAGGTTATATTTACTAGATGATTGACAGAATTCTCAAACCTTTTGATATCAGTGGCATTTAGGCAAATTCTGGGCAGGAAAATAGTGAGCCTTTGAATGCTAAAATATATTGATTTTTGCTCTGTTGTCACATCTCTTTCATGACATTCTGTTCAAACAATTTCGTGAATGTGCTCTAGAATGTATATTATGCTAATATAGCAGAAAATACACTGCAAAATTCGCAATTGCATGTTTGCACACCAGAAAACTGATTCTGAGGTGCAACGGAAATATTTCTGTGTTCTGAGTCTAAACAACAGAATTTAAAGTATAAATTGCAGTTCTTAACCACTTGAAATAATTAGTGCTTATCAGGAACAGTTCACAAACGAACCTTGGGCTGAATTAAGCCTATACAATATAATTTGTAAAAAGGCAAAAGTTATAGAAATGGTAATCTGTTTGCAGGCAGTTTGAGGTGGAAGGAGAAACAACTAAATTTAACATTGTTCTCTGCGACCAGTTCATTCTGTTTTTCTCTTATCTGAAGAAAAGCAAACAATATACAGTATGTACAATATAACAGACGGCTTGGCAGCAGGACATGAAATGAAAATGAAATATCTGCAACTTGTTTATGCTCTGAAGTTGGTGGTTATCCAACTTTATAATTATCAACATAAAATTAGAGCTGCATGTTCAGAATCTAGATCCATTATCCCAGCATGACTGGATTGACTGTTCCCTGAGCTGTTCTGTTGGATGTTAAAAAAATTGCTTTCTCATTGTGCTGCCTGGCTGGATTCTCTTACATACTTTTGTCCCACACCCCCTAAAAGTAAAGGAAATTGAAAGCAGGAGGCCTGCAGATGGCTCAGCAAAGGCACTTGCTGATAGCTGTTCATATCTGGCAAAGATCCTGCATATATCAGGTACCTGGGGTGAGTCAGATATAGAAAGACATGCAAAATAAATTTATAATGGCTAATTTCTCTCCCGAGCAGTTGCTTATGGATATCTAATAGAAATATTGTTTCTCAGTTTGTTGGGTAACAGTCAGGTGCTTTTTTTTTTTTTGACTTCAAGGGAGCGGATTTTTTGTGTGTTTGTCCTTACTGCAATTCTCTATGCCATGATTCAGTAATGATTAGTGTCTCCCTGCACTGTAGCTGCAGTTCTTCCAGTTATTCTGTCTCTACAGCATTTTGTATCACTCTATTTGAGGCAATCTGTCCATGCTTCAGAAGAAATAAATATGTGTATATGTATAAATAAATGCATAAAATCAAAAATTGCATATTAAATCAGGATATGCATTCCAAATATTCATACCCTCTTCTGTATCTCTGCTCTGTATCTCTCTGTATTTTTGACGTGGAAGTGGGATTACACATTTTCAGTCATGCAAATGTATTAAACTGCATGTTTGGTGGGCAGTCTTAAAGCAGCGTGAGTCTCACATCCCCACAATGTTCTGGACCAGTGTAATCCCATCAACAGAATCCCCTGTATAGGCATGATTGGCAGCAGCAGGAGTCATTTAGCAGCACAACTTGGTGCAGCTTGTAGACGGGAGAAATCACTTTCCTGGTGTAAACTCTTTCCTCTCCTAGAGGATTTTTTTTCTCTGTAAGTTCCACAGCTGCAGCTGTGCAGGTAGCATTTGCAGTGCTCTCGACATGCCAGTGTAAGCAGCAGTGAAGTTGTAAAGAGCAGCGACAGGAGTGATGTAAGTGCTGCTGAAAGCTTGACTTCCACTGTTTAGACATGAGATAGATAAGTTTAGAGAGGGCAGATAGTTAGAAGCACTATCCTTTCTTTTGCCTTGGTCATTTCCCCCACTTCGGCTGTGGTTCAGAGCTTTAACCTTAATTCTGTTCAACTGGACTAACTGTTCAAGCCAACGGGATTTGTTTCCCTTGACCTGGATAACAACAAAGTCAAATGCTTCATTTCTAATTAGAAGAAGCTGGCTGTAAAGTGAAAGAATACGGCCTGAGGCAAATGGTAATGAAAATAGGCAATCGTGAATTAAATAAAATTTACTAAGTTGTGCAAAGTATTAAAATATATTCCCATGAAGAGCAGATACTCTTACAGTTACCTATTGATGTCAGTCAGAACCAGCCAGCTCTTTGAAAACAAATGAATATTTTAGTTACTTCCTGTAAATGTGCTGTACGCAACTTTTTTTTTTTCTGTGCTCCTGTTCTGAAAAGCACAAGAGCACAAGAGATAATGACAACATGGTGAATATGGTGACATTTCTTCAGAATGTCTGTCACGAGACAAACTGACCACAGGAGGAAAAAGTGACATTCAGAACAATGCCAAGTTTCATACCTCTCCTTTCAAGATGAGAAGTGTTTTCCCACAAACCATTATAACCATTTCACAAAGCAATGAGTTACTAAAAAAAAAAAAAAAAAGTTAGTTACATTAACTGTTTAACTAAATCCCTGGTTATGATCTCCTCTCCTGATATTGAGCAATTATGAGGGAAACATGAGGAAGAGGTTTCAATTGGTATCTACGATAACATCATGAAAGCAGTTTCACAGAACACGCTGCCATCTACAGTTTTCTGGAGCACTGGACATATTCACTGTTTATTATGCAACAATAAGTTCATGTTTTTCTAAATTTGTAATGAAATTCTGTTTTCTCCAAAGTGCTTTTGGGAAGTATTGCTTTTCCAGCAGGTTTATTCCAGTCACTTCTAACAAATCTGATTATCACAGGTCATAATTTTTATGCAAGATTCATGCATACTTCAATTTATGCAAGATGCATGAACATTGGAAGAGATTCATGAGGTAATGCTTCAAAAATATCAAATTTCAACAACGAAATGGATATTTACCTCAAGGTTTCCTCCATTTCTGGTAATCATTTCAGCACCTGAAATGACATGCATTATTTCTCCAAGTTGCATAGACATTTTCAGAAGCATCTTACATTTCTGCAGAAACACTTGAGAGCAGTCAGTTGATCCAGCCATAAAATAAATGTTTGGATTCATATGTTAAAGGACATTTAAGAGGAGGTAGGAGAATACACAGAAAGGTGATAAGATTGAATTGTGTAGTGTGTGCTGTTTGTGTAGAAGTGTACTGTGTTTGCTTTTTGTAGCTGTTATAGCATAATTTCTAACTCATAGCTTGCCACAGCACACACAATTCTTATTCAGTCTTCTTACCCAGTGCTACTGATAGCCAGTGCTCATACTCATAGAGGTGAAAATAGAATTTTCTTCTAACATCTGACAGTTGCTGTAACAATGCCAAATTATTCTTTTAATATGAATTGAATTTCAAATATTTTGAATGCTGCTGCTTCTTTTTCAAGGCCTATGCATGTAGTTTCCATAAGAGTTTTAAAATACAGCATGTAGTATAACTTTAATTTCTTACTTTGCGTAGAAAGAAAATGATTTATTTTTTAAATAGTCTAAGATCCATTTGACAATCTCAGTTTTGAGGGTTTTCTTCTGTACAGGGACAGTTTTGTTTGTTGGAATATATCTTACAACATATGTGGGCTATCATTAAAAAACTTACACTTTCTCCAGAGGTGCAGAACAATCTGCATGCCTGAAAAGCACTCCAGTCAAGCCATTGAATGGAAACCATTAAACACTCTTTTTGCAGCCAAACTATCTCCCTTTTGGGGAGCTTTACTGTTTAAAACAATGTTAGCATACAAATAAGAGCTTGAACCCCCAGGGAAAACATTTGATTTCACTGCAGATACCTTACTATAAACCATTCTCCAGAAGAGGGAAAATAGCTCTATAAGCAGGAACTTGAAATGTTTCAGTAGTGTTTGACTGCCTACAGCTAAGCAGATATTCCCAATATAGAGCCAGTATCGCATACATGTAAAGTGCTTGAGTGACCCCACGAGCTTTTAACACACAAGATACCCCAGAAATGCTGGGCATCTTCACACTCCTGCAGTAAAGCAAATGCTTAATTTCTACATACGGAATCCATACAGTGATAGGGATAAGAAGGGAAAGGGTCATTTCAAACTTGCAGTTCTTTCACTTCTTACCAACATTTAAATCAGGTTAGTTGTTTACAGGAGCTTACTATAAACCATTCTCCAGAAGAGGAGATCAGGTTAGTTGTTTACAGGAATCCACTTTTTGCATCTTTCAAACAGGTTAGTTGGGTTTTTACTGCAGGAGATATTTTTTACATTATTTTTCTTTGCATGAAGCTTAGAGAGTATTTCCCCACTTTTTCACGCAGATCAGAAATAAGGTTTATATGCAATCATCTAAAGCAGATTCATTGGGTTATTGGTTTAAAATGTGAATGTTCTCAATACCGCAGAAATTTTATTTAATTGTACACTTTCCCTTAATGGTCCCTTGAAAAATCTAAATTATGTAAATGTCTTAAAACCCTAACAGCCTTTCTGTGGCAACTAGCATAGAAAGAGGACAAAACCCCACATCAAAACAGCATTTTGATTGTTAATTCCTTGCTTTCAGAGCGTGGAAGGAGAACACCATGAGAAAGCCGTGGAGCTCCTGAAGGCAGCTAAGGATAGTGTAAAGCTGGTGGTTCGCTACACTCCCAAAGTGCTGGAGGAGATGGAGGCTCGTTTCGAAAAACTGAGAACTGCACGACGCCGGCAACAGCAGCAACTGCTGATTCAGCAACAGCAGCAAAGCGCACAGCAAAATCATATGTCGTAGGTGAGAGTATTCAGTGCTCTTCTTTAAAGCCCCGTGCCAAGAAGGGCTGCTGAGCACCCGCTGCAGCGTGGTAATGAGTGCTCGCTCTTTGGTACATTCCTGTGTGCTCTGTCCCGAGAAAAATGCATTTTGAAAATAGATGAAAGGCCTTCCGAATTCTGGAGGTAATTTCCAAGTGAGAACCCAGAAATCAATACTCACTATGTATGCAGCTTTCGCATATGCGCAAACAAGACTCCGTAAGAAGTTTATATTCCCCTGGATCACTCCTAAAAAAACAGAGCATTTGTAACAAGTAAGAAGAAGGTGTGACCAGATTCAGACATATTTTAATGTCTTTTTCACTACTCTGTTACTAGTGTGAACTGAACATTTAGATTTACTGCTGTTAAAATGAAGAGAAGTCTCTCTAGTCCATTCCCTGCTCCAGGAAACCCAAGCTCTGTGTTTCCTCTGCAGGGAATCCACAAGTACCTACTTCTTATCTACAGTTTGGTAGGGAATATTTCGTTCACGCTAGCCTTATGCTCAGTATTACAGTAGCTTCCAAGAGGCTTCCAAGTTCTCCCGTATAGTCAAAACAAATGGCATACAAAGTACAAAGATACCAAAGCCCAGATTCTCCACGCAGGCGCTTCTGAAATCAGTGAGAAATCACCTGAATACATATATGGATATGCTGAATTTCTCCAAAGCAAATGAAATACAATGAGTATATACTAAAGAAAGGGATTAAGTCCTGATCTTCCTATCTCTTGCCAGAGGTTCCCAAAACAGGATGGTTGTACCATTAATAGTCTGCAAGGGACTCAGAAGGTCCCCAAATGGCACAAGATCAGAAATGGAAGCTCTCAATGATGCTTTCATTGTTCTTAATGTCGGCACTGATCTCTGTGACAGATTGACAGATATGTGTATGTGTATATGTACAGAGAGAGATCTATAGATAGATAGATAATGTAACAGCTTATAAAACATCTGTCCTGTGACCCTTAAAATTCCAAAATCTGAATCTTTTAGGGCTTCAAATCAGAAAAAAAAGATGTAAAAGGTGATTTTTCATAAAATAAGTTTTGATTGTCAGCCTAAAATAGAACCATTGCAGAAGACAAACAAAAATGGAACAATATCACATAACAGCATTTTATATTTTCACTTACACTAAAACTTTTCCTTAGCAAGTCAGGCATTTTTCCTGATTGAAAATTACTCTTTAAACTGAAAGGAAAAAAAAAAAAAAGCAGGCAGATACAACCAGCATCTTAATTCCTCAATTCCTTATATTTACTCTGAAAAAAAAAATGTGTGTTTTTTTCAATTCTAGGTTATTCTCAAAGAAAAAAAAGGCATAGATCAAGAGTTCAGTAATCAAGCAATTGGAGCTGTGCTTCAGTATTCCAGCAAACGGAAACAACCACAGGAACACAAAACAGAATTCATCTGGAGAATGTGCAGTGTAAGAATAACTTAATAGGACAGCCGGATAGAGGGCACTTCGTTACATGGCTGTTCAGAACACTGCGGTCACAGTTACCCAGCTGTGCCTCTGTTCCCAGCAGGAACAGAGAAGTGGTAAGTAAACTCTATAAAACAGAAGTCCAGGGCTTCCAATAATTCTGTTTGGGCTAATCTTGCACTCCTTACGTGACAAATTGGCTTTCTCTGGTCAGTAAGAGTTTTGCTTAAGGAGCTCAAGATTGGCTGCATATGGGGATGGAACCTTTCCCCACAGAGATGAAAAAATACATCAGTTCAAGATTTTGCCACAGACATCAAACTCATACATCACACTTTGTACTATATGTAGAGTAGTTTTAACCTAACTTACTGTTTATAATTTTCAATTTTTTGCTCTGAAAATAGCAATTTACTATATTTATAAAGTATTCCATTTGTAGAAGCAATTGGCTTTTTACTCTTGGTGTTTCCATATATTTTATTATGCATCAACAGAGTGAGAAAGTTTTAGGTCAATTATAATTTTATTAGTAGTAAAGTTAGGGAGTCCTAGAACTGTATTTTTAAATGTAGGTATTGCTTGTATCTATTATAGCTACTATTCAGAAATCTATAACTGGATATATTATATATTTATTCCATAAAGTATTTATTGTAAGAATGTACCTGTTAGAGAAGTAGGGTCTTTGCTGAGCATGTATTGCAAATGTAGTAAGCTGATGTTAGCAAAAGACCAAGCTTTGTTTGACAGATATTCCTGTGATAGCATAATAATCTCAGCTTTTCTGTATTAATTTATTTTCCAGTCTAATGTATTTTAGAGAAGAGGAAATGTAAGTTGTTTCTTTTAAGTCTGGCACATTACCATATAAATCAGTTTGAAGTTATGGTTTTGAACTTTCTTTTAATCGAACCAAATTGGAATGTAAAACCAAAATACATAATTAAGTTCTTAAGTTTATGTATCTGCTTTTCCAAAGAAAATAGTCAAAGCTGGAAGGCTATAAATATCATCTATTTTTGAGTGATGAGAAACACTGAAGCCCCAAATTCCAATAAGTAGTCATTCAAAGCATGTCTTCTCTGCTACATTAGAGAAATATGGAGGGGAAAACAGCGTAGGGGAGAACCCTACAACCCTTGCATATTGAAAACTTTGACTGACGTCAGTGAAAGCTGAGCAGCATGAGGAATGCAGAAAAGCTCTGAACTGGTGTTCTGGTTGTGAACAAAACCAGAAGCAACAATGAATGATTGCCTCTTCAAATATTTTCAAAAAAAAAATCCTTTCAATTTCTTGAAGGATCAATTCTCAAATAGAGGCAAAGCACAGCAGGGGAGAGTGTTACCGTGGCTTAGGTGAAAAAAACAGTGTACAAATTAGCCACCAGTCTTGACAGTGTTTGTATAGTATAAGTAGCCATTGAAAGGAAATTCTCATATTTTTAAAACCAAATGGCATAAATACTCCCAGAGAAGAGTCATTTTATACAGAGAAGTAATTCTATCTGGTGTTTTTTGGCGACAATATCAGTTAAGACAGTGGGCCTGTCAACACTGCCAGAAGTAAAAATGAAATATATTGTATTGTGCTCTGCGCGGTGTCTTTTTATACTTAATAAAATTGTATGTACCTATTTTAAAGCTATATTCTCAGCAACCACCTCTGTTAATACTGACAGTATACGAACTGTTATCATAACTGCATATAACTGTACTGTATCTCAGCCTTATGATTTGAGTTACTCTGACTGATATTCCCTGTCCTCTCAGAGGCCGAGTGTTATTCACATGTAGTAAGCCCACTGTACTGCATTTTTCTTAACTGCCTTTCCACATCCTCCCCTCCTCTTCCTCACAAAATTTAGGTTTGATGGAGTGGAATGTGCTGATTAATAAATGTCAATAGTAGAATGTTATTCATATAGAGAAGCGTATCAGATTCATTTTCATATGTTATTATTCAATAAATTATTTATGCACAGTAATGTAAACATTCCAGTCTCTGCCAACACTTAAAAGTAAGACGAAAGAATACAAGTAGCATACAACTGGGAATACATGTGAGGCAGAAGCAGG